TATTATTATTATATATATATATATATATATATATATAGTAATATAGATAGTTTAACTTGAATTAAGTTACATATAGAAGTATTTCTATTCTACTTCCTATTCGTATTTTGCGTAAGTTTCATCCGATTTCATGCAATTAAAATTTATATTTGTGATCCTGGATAAAAATAATTATTATATTCTTAGGGGTCGTTTGATATGATGGATAAGAGGAGATAATCTCGGAATAACTTTTGAGGGGCCTTTAGGGGTCGTTTGGTGTTTTGGATAGGAGGGAATAGTCATGGGATAAAATTGTAGTGTCTATTAGTCCCTTGTTTGGTTACACACAATGGGATAACTTATCCTAGGATAAATAAATAGTACTGTTGGGATAAGTTATCCCTCCCACTTGGTGGAATAACAATATCAGAATAACTTATCCGAATAACTTATCCTGAGACAATATAATTAAAATGACAAAAATACCTCTGAATTCTTAAATCCTTTTTATTATCACTTTTCACACTAGTTTTTGGCCAATTTTAGTGCCATTTTTGTTTAGTTTTTGTTGTTATGGTGCAATTTTTGTCCAGATTTTGCTATTTATATGTCGTTTTTACTATTTTGTCAAGTTTAGGCTGTTTTGGTGCCATTTTGTCAATTTTTTTACTAAAGCGGTTTTTGATGAGTTTTGATCCAGTTTTTTTAGGTTGTTTTGTTATCGTTTGTCTTTCTATGCATCCTTAGAAGTCTTTGTTGCCACTTTCCAAGTTTTTCTCAAATCTTCCCCAAATATTCTTGGTGTCAAACGGGTCCTAAAAATTGGTGATTTGAATATACGAGAAACTAAGAATACTAGATACAACAATATACTCAGGAAAATTAAAAATAATAACTACAGGTTTAAAAAATACTCAAAATACCATTGTCTGATAATAAAGAAAAGATAAAATGATAGAAGTGATACATAAAAGGAAAAATTACATAAATATACATTTTATTTTATTAAAATCTCTAAAATTTCATATTATTAAAAAAATTACAAAACTTCTCTCTCGTATACATCCCAATCATCTCTCGGATACATCTCTATCCTCTTTTGGATACATCTCTCCCATCTCGAATACATCCCTATCCCCTCTCATTAAGTAATGTATCATTTGCATTCCATGAGCCATGTATCGATTTTTTTTATGTATATATCCGAGATCCTACAAATTTAAGGATTTTGTAATTTGAAAAAATTTAGGATAAAATGTAATTAGCTCTTAATACTACTTCATTTATATAATTCTTACTAAATAAAACATGATGATGTGGATTTAGCCAAATAGCTCACTCTGAAGTCTCTGCATGCTTCCACGTATTTAAACAATGGGCTCAATATAAGTTACTCTTTTTGTTTTAATTTATGCGTCAGTGATGGAGTTTGAAAAGTTTATATGTTTTTAAATAAAATATTTAAAGTTTTTCATTATTATAATTTATAAAAAAAAACATTTTTTTTCAAATAATACATGTTTCTCCTCTATCCCTATTTCTATGGCACAAATGAAATTTAGAAAGTTAAAGCAAATTTTTTGTATGGTTTTAAATATTTTAGATTCTTAGTAATTGTGATTAATATTACTTTTATATAATTTTTAAATAATATATATTATTTTTCCATTTCATTTTATGTGGCACTGATAAAAAATTGTGAGTATTGTTATAGTGTGATTTGTAATTGTTTTTATGTAATTTTTAAACATATAATCGAATATTTTAAGTTGTTAATTATTGTGATTTATAATAATTTTTTATGTATTTTTTAAATACTTTAAATTATTACATTATGATTTATTGATTTATAGTCCGTTTTATGTAATTTTTAAATATGTAATTGAATATTTTAAGTTATTAGTATTATAATTTATAATACTTTTGATATAATTTAAAAAAAAATTAAAATAAAGAAAATATTGAAGAAACACTATAAGCACACAACTCAAGCAGATATGTCGTTCATCATATATTTACTTGTAATATAAGAGTAATGTAACACAAAGGACTAAAGCAAATGTAGCATGAATACAGAAATAAATATGTACTCATCAAGTATCACTAATCGATCCTAAAGAGATAGTGATGAAGATTGATCTTCGAAACAATTCAAATAATTTGTCTATTTTAATAATACTAGTTGTAAAGTGAATATGCTAAGAGCCTTTGCTTATTTTATGTCCCCTTTTTTCACGAGTTTTGGATATTGAACATGGAAATCTTAACTTATTCTCAACTTCATTTTATTTTTGCTTGAATAAACTTCATTTTCCCTTTACCTGGCCCAGTTGGACAGAAAAAGAAGTGAATGTTAGGTGAGACGCATAAACAAAGATATAATTGGTTGTCAGATTTTAAGAATTAACGACATACATCTTCACTGGCATAGCGGATCAGAATTATTATTAAGGGGTGTCAATGATTATAGTAAAAAAATAATAATTTGTGAGGCTAGTGAAACTAGAACACACGATTTCAAGAAATTTTCACAATTCTCTTTACTTATGTCAAAAGATGTCAATTATATATATATACACACACAATTGACCTTTATATACAATATAATTTTCCGATGATCAGGGCGGGTCAGCCCCTGGTAGCAGGTCGGTAATGTGGTTTCTGTTCTGTTCACTGGCTTGTTTAACGTTCAATTCAGCATAAATCAACATTATCCTCCTTTTTTGAAATTTGAAAATAGAAAAGAGTTGAACTCCCTTAAATGGACGGATATGTTTCGTGGTGAAATTCGAAAAAAATATTTTTTATTTATGGCATAAAATATGATATTTAAAAATTAGAATTGTGTTCGACCATGAATATAAGTTAAAGTTATTTTTGACTTATTATGAATTATTTGAAGTAATAAAAAAAGTTAAAATATCTTCTTGTTGTTTTTCAAATTCTAAAAAACTTATTCTCTAAAAGTTTAATTTTTTTTAAAAAGTAAAAACATTTCATGGTCAAACACCTAGTCAAGAGTGTGTAGCATGAGAGTCCAACACAAAGGACACAAGACAAACCTGTACAAGAATTGCATTAAACGTTTAGGCGAACAATCACCAGTTGTACGTACAACAATCAACACAAACACAAAGGGCCCAAGCGCGATTCTTCTGTTTTGTTTCATTCCTCTGGCACCATTTAAGACGGTTAATAATTCGGAAACAAAACTAATAATTTACATGATGTATTCAATACTTCTCTTTACACCAGTCGTAACAAAAGAATTCATCCATAAAAACAACCTATACCAACGTAAATACAACATTAAAATTATTACTAGTACAAAACAATCATATCAATTTCATCCCAAACTGCAGCTGCTGTCAATTTAATGGCGCATTTGTGTGACAGGAAGACAGTAACTAAACATAACTGCCGTCATGCTCATGCACCACCAAAGTGCCAATTTTTATTACCATTTATACTCTCCTCCATGCTTCTTGATTCTCTTCAACACACCCTCCACTGCAATATCAAATGCATCTTTAACGCCATTTATCCCCTCATTGGGTTTACCATACACTATCTTCGCTATATTCTCTATAACTTTCTCCCTCATCGACTTCACCTTTTCTTTGCTGAAATTCTCAAGAACCGCTTTAATGGACGACCCATTTTTCACCGCGTACCGGTCTATGAACACTGAGTAACTCTCCGGTTCACCGGGCAGAAACCATTCGTATTGGTAATAAGCCGTTCTCTTCCAGAAGAAAACCGGAATTGAACCGGCCACCATGCAGTCGAAAATGGACCTTCGAGTGAAACTATCACCCCTGGGTTGTAAGCAAAAATCTGAATCGAGAAAAGTTTCCATAATTTCTGAAGTGCCATTGGAGCATTTGGAACCAGCACAGTCCAGAACTCGGCATGAATCTGACTCGCTGTAACAATGATTCAGTAATAAACCCCGGAAATCGTTTTTGATAAACCCACGTGTAGCTCCGGCGAAGCAAAACAGAGTTTTTCTTTCACGGTGACGGACGAAGTTCTGCCACTGTGCGATGTCGTCGGCGGTGCTGGGGTGGAATCCGGTGGGATAAGGTACTCCAATGTCGAAATAATCCCAAGGGTTTTTCTCTATAAGGAGGCGCGTGATGTTACGCATACCCGGCATGTATATACAACTTGAACCCCAATCTTCATCCTTGGATCGCCGGAAATCCCATGAAATCCGACCCATCGAGATGAAATGATCCCATCCGTCAGTTCGCTGCCAATAAGTCTGATTCTGAACCCAGTTGAGCAACAGCTCGCAATGCAGATCGCGATCTTTTGCACTGGAATTATTCTTAAACAAGTACTTCCCCACGGCGAGACCAGCATAAAACGGAATGTAAAAAGTCGACGCTGATTCCGGCTCCAAAGTCCTGCACCGGTAATTCAACATACGATTATGGTAAATTAGCTCCAATGCAAACTGGTCCGTCCAATACCACGAACGGATCAAGCTTTCCGGAATTAAATTCGAAATTGCGGTCGCTTCCCGGCCAAATCCATCGTTCGACAGCGCTTCGCAAGGGGAAATCCATGGGTTCAACTCATTACAATTTTGAATTAGCTCCGCGTTGAAAAACAGGGGAAGGTCGTATACATAGATTTTACCTAAAGGACATAAGTCAGTAACATTATCAACTTGTGTAATGGTCGAACTACTATCAGCATGAACGGCGGCGGAAGATTCAGTGGGGAGGGTAAGGGGCGGAGAAGAAGAGTGGGGGTGGAAAGTGATGTAAGCGGAAAAGGGGCGGGAGCGGAGAGTGAAGAGGAGAAGAATTTGAAAAAGGAGGAGGGTAAGAATAAGCCATGTACGTGGATTGTGAAAAGAAATCAGAAAGGAGTTTTTTCGATCGGAAAAATCAGGGGATTTGGGTTTTGAAGGAGGGTTATTGGAATTAGGAAGCATCAGGTTCCGGCGAATTTGGCCGGGAAAATCAAGAATGGAAATGAACACGGAGGTTGTTGAGAAGGCGGCGGCGGTGGTCCAAAATGGTGGAGACAATACAGAGAATAAAGTGAGCGGGGAGGTTAACAATCAAATGGTGGGTTGTGTTGTCTCCCTTAATCAAAGGGACATGTGTACTAAATAGCTGTTGTTCTAATTCGTGGCGGAATCAAAATTTTCAATAAGAAGGTTCAAAATATGAAAAAATAGATAAACGAAGTAATTGAAGGGGGTTTGACATCTATTATATATATCTAAAAATTATTTTAAGCATGTATAAGTCATATAATTTTCCGCCAAAAAAGATTCGGATGAATCCCTAATTGTAAGATGGCTCCGCCACTGGTTCTAATAGCCGCCAGCAGACATGAACTATACAAACTCTTTTAACACTTCATACAAATAAAAATAGAAAAGTGGTTCTGAATATAAAAAAATCTTATGGCGAGTATTATTTTTTTATGAGCCATTGGGGTTTCAATGTGAGCTCACTTTAGGTGGGAAACAAAATAAAATAAATTTTATGTACCTATTTATAATTTTATGAAATCTAGTGGTAATATTTTTCTATAGTAATTTTTTTACTCTTTTCTCTTCCTCGTTCGTCCTTTGTAACATGATTTTTTTCTCCCTAAATCTACCCTTGCAATAAGATGTTGATATTTTTTTTCTTCGTTAAAGAGAGGTTGGTGTTTGATCAAACTCAAATGTGAAAATTAACTTAGGAAACATAATTAGATGATCATATAATGTCATATTGAAAAATACAACAATAATACTAGGTTTGACCTTGTCACCTTGATAGTATATTAAGAAAAATGATTCAAGACACAACTCAATGTCAAACGCAAATTAACAAAGTGAAAATTGTCGAATAATATTACATAACGTAAGCACGCTAAATTTTATTTATTGGAGGTGGACAAATGAAGGTCATTGTTTGATTACCTAATAATATGTCGTCAATTTGTTGTTGGGAAAGCGACGGCAGCAGCTCTACTTTCGATGGACGGAAACTGAAGATTTGAAGGAGCGGCCACATGCACTGTGCATATGATTGTGAAATGAACAGAATTCTGTTGCTTAAACTTGATCGTGGTGCGGGGTTGAATTAAATTTGAATGGATCAAAATAATTAACGGATCAAGATTCAATTCATTTCAAATTTACTTGAGTTAAAATGAGCTGGGTAATGGATTATGAGTCAAGACCTAATCCAATTCAATTTTAACTAAGTTTTAATTTTCTCTATTTGTTCTTTTACCGTTTTACAATATTTTAATACCTAATAAAATTAATCTTTTTTTTATTATGACTATATATAGCATATCAATTTTTTTTTAAAAAAAATCAATAATATTTAAACAAAATTTCTCTCGAGTCAATTTAGATTACATATCACTAAAATTTAATGAGTTGAGCATGGGAGGATTATTAAACGAGTTAGGTTTGATTTCACTATCCTAATTTGTCATAATATTTCCAACCAATCATTGACTAAACAAAAATTCAAATTATATCCATGAAGACTGATTCCTTCGGACTCCAATACCGACGGATTGATCAGTTTTTAATTCTCTATTTGTCTTGGGGTGAATGGTGGAGCTAATGGCATATATACAAAATTTAAGCAGCATTTATTTATAAGTAAGATATATTTTTATCGCATTGATTTAGATTTTAGACGAATTTTAAGCTAGAAGAGGAGGTCTTGAGTTCACTGCTACTTATACCACTTATTGATTTATACTGATTTGAACCTCTAACCTCCCACAACAAAATCAGGTAATGAACCAATAGGCCAATAAATATTTTTTGTCAAGTAATATCATTTCATTAAATATATATCTTATACATAGTACTATAAATATATACATTTAATAAAACTTTTAAAAAAGAAAATATCACTTGATACTCATTTGCTCAACGTGGGTCCGGCTCTCGGTGAAGCCACAGACCTACTGGGAAATTTTTATTCCTTCAGAGGTAGGAAGGTAAAAATAATCATACTTACGACATCTGGACGCAAAAATAAATAAATAAACAGTCTCCATGTTGCATCGTATAATCTAAACACTAAAATATTCATGAGAAATAATCCGACTCCTAAGAATAATACTACTGAATTATTTATTTATTTTTTGAAAGATTTGGCAGTAGCTGTCACCTTGTGAAATGTCAAGACAGATCAGTACAACATTTTTTCATTAAGGGATCGTTTGGCTATTGAAATACGATAGAGTTGTAATATTTTGTGGGATTAACTATTTCATTTTTTATATGATATTAACTAATTTCTATCATTTTAGTTAGTACAAAATGATTTGTAGAACTAATATACTTTGACTAAACGTGTCTTCTGCAATGAACTTGTGATAAACGTTTCAAGAATAAATAGAATATCACACCATACTTGAAAAACAAAAACATAAACAAGTGAAACTTTGATCAGTAGTCAATCAATTGGGATATTGTAATTATTACTTTTCTGCATCCCAATTAGTATTATCTTTCGAATTTGTAGCTTCAAATAAGTCTATTTTTAATCATATATTTTTCATTTATCTTTTAAATCTTTTCAATTGTCAATTATTATGACTAAAATTGTTTGATTCTCTAAATTTGAATTGTATTTTTTAATTATGTTTATTCCTGACCAGATAAACACTATCGTATAATATATAAAGACTGACTTCAATTTTTCGAAAAGCCAATAGTATTATTTATTTTGAGAAGGGGTTACCACTTTTGTCTTAACCTCACGCGTAAGTTCTGCTAAAGCTCCACTCAGAACCTTGGAATAAAGGAACTGAAATATAGTAATATACTTCCGATGTCCCAATTTATGTGACTTACTTTCCTTTTTAATCAGTTCAAAAAAGAATGACACATTTCTATATTAAGTAACAATTTAATTATAAAATGTCTATTGATTTACAACCACACAAATTTCTATCATTCATTTTAAGTTTTAAAAGTTTTTTTTTTTCTTAAACTTCGTGCCGAGTCAAACTACCTCACATAAAATGAAACGGAAGGAGTAATATAATATATATATCCCTCGAGTCAAATATAAAAATCACAAAAGCATTTTAGTCACCTAAAATCCCAAGTGAGCATCTTACTTTTTTTCCTTTTGAAAAAGCAATTTGCAGTTCCTTAATTAGTGCTCCCTTAAGCAATTATAACCAACTTTAATCATTATTTGCAGCTTGACCTAAGTCTCATTTCAGGGGATTGGAATCTCTCATGACTCATCAACTCCAAAAATGATTGGCAACAAAATGTGTAATATATCGTATGGCGTTGCCAAGCTAGCTTTTTAGAAAAGGATTTCCAAGTCCATATATAAGGAGATCACCAATTCATCCCCCAACGAATGTGATAATCTAGCCCACAAAGTAAATTGTGGTATGAACGATACCACTCATCCAATTAGAATGTGATCTGAACAACAGCAGGTCACCAGCTACTAACATCCATAAGAGTTTGTAAAAATTCATTTGCATCAGCTAAACCAATCATATGACTTGTTAACTCATCAGTCTCATATCCATATGGAAATTATACTCATGTTTCACAGGATTGATAGGTTTCTGTGATTATGTGATCGAGTTGTAGCATGAGAATAACTACTGCTGGAAAAGTAGGATAAATATTGCAACTACTTTCAGTTTAAATCGGTTTTAATTTATTCTAGAAAGAACATTCACCGGGAAAGAACAATATCTCGTTCAACAAATGGTAGATAGAGCAAAAAGACACTAGGGAAATAAGCTTCAAGAGCTTGCACAATCTAGAGACTAACACGATACCATAACCACTTACTGCTTCTTCAATAGCAGGGGTCCAACGTTATCTCCGGTTTCCTTATTGTGCTTCACATGGCTTCCATCACATAGAGGAAAAGTCCCAGACCTCCAACACCTGAACACAAAAATTTCCCACTTACTAAATTCAGTTCGAAATGTTATTCTAGCAAGAGTTCCAGAATCAAGAAGGCAATAATAAGTAGGGAGATATCAATGACTCTGTTCTCCAGTTCAACTATCAGTAAATGTAGATAACATATGGTCCTCTTCCGAACCAATTAAAGAGAAAAGGGGGTGGGAGCGGGAAAGGAGGGTCTTCGTTCAGCATCGAGCCCCTTAAGTCACCCCCTTGAGAAGGCTTACAGTGCTCAATGAATGACGGAGACGGACCAGAGACAAATTCAACTAGAGCAACTCACATTGGACATACTGGTTATCAAGGTCGAATCCTGATCTTCTCCGAGTTATATGCATCTCTCCCATCCCCATTAAAAAAACTAGAACTTGACTAATCCTGAATTAAACCGAGAAACTCTAGGATCTCTGACAAATTATCCATTTTTTTATATCTGTTTCAAGATGCCTCTTAGATGTAGAAAATGTGATTCATTTTACTTTGGTTAAATGATGTAACTTCTTACAATAGTCTTTTTTGATTATATTACCCTATACAATCAGGTATAGCATCATATGTGATAAACATAATTATGTAAAACAATCAAAACATTACAATAAAATGTTTCATTATTATTAGGAATATTTATGTGCTCTAAGCCTCTAACACACGTAGTGTTGTTTCACATCAAAAGTATAAATAGTACTCATATGATAATTACAACATAATTTAATATATACCTAAGGTATATATTAACTAAAGTTGGCAATCAAACACCTGACTATTAAGGATATAATACTGAAGTATTTTCAATAAATGTATAACCAAAAACAATCCTTCAACACCAATATTCTTGAAGGACTTAAAGTGAAGTGGCCATCTATACAAACATTTTGGAATATGAAATTAATTTAAACAAAATCAGATTCAATATCACTACCAATAATAGGGTTGACTTCCTTTTTTCCACGGACGAACAACATGTATCAGGTAACTCTGACCACCAAAGGTGATAACTGATGGGATAATAGGACTGACTATTGATTGGACTTTATATATGTACGACTACTTTTTTTCAACTTCAACCAAATAATGTCCCATCTCTACTAAAAATGAACAAAAATTTCTTTTTTCCTATGAACTTACCAAAAGTCGCAAGTTCACAGTTACAAAAAGAATTTTCAAATAAAATAAGATTTTGGAATAAATAAACACTGTTGATTGACCCATACCACTATGTGGCTTGTCCCCATTTTCACATAAGGTAAGACAAAAAGGGAGAAATAATTGAATAAATTAAAATTTTGCAGGTTTCTAACAATTTTTGTCAGCAATGCATATTCGCAACTACCTGGAATCATTGTAAAAATTTTCAACAACAACAAAAAGAAGAAATACTAAAATAATATATTAAATTGAGAAATTATGAAAATGTATAAAACAGAAAATGAACCTGCAGTAAGCAGTAAGAGGCTTAGAGAGTTCAGTGACGAGAACAGAGTCGACCACTTTTGCTTCATCCTTCTTAATGTCTGGGTTTATAGCTTGGGCACGAACCACCACCATACGCCTTGGCTTCGCGGTGAAGGAAGCTAATGCGCCGCCGCATGAGAAGCCAGATTGAATTATGCTAGCTGTAGACGCCATTGATGTTCTCTGTTATTATTATTTGGGAATGAGTTGATGCCTAAATAAAAGGAGAAGAGAAAGGGGTGACGAACGTGTGGCGAGCACGGTCCTCCCTTGTGAATTTTGATTTTCCCCAAATCGAGTGGAAGCTACAATATCCACGTTCCTAAATTTGTGATTTCTATTCAACGGCGAAAACGGAAAGTAAAATGCAAATTACATTCAATTGAGTTTAACTAAATCCAATCCGCGTCAAAAGTTTTACATGGAAGGATAACCAACAAAATTTTCTAATGTTGGTCGTTTACAAAGCCATTTGCACATGGGTTATAATTGGTGAATTGTTTAATTATGCAATGGTCAATAATATTATAGTAATATATGAATAAATCATGCATGTTAAATTGTGATAATAATTAAACCGATGTTATTTGGGTAAAATTATACACATGATACTAAAGTCAAGTCATAAAGTGATTTTGAGTGTTACTTACAAGGACATATATATTTGAGCGCAAACTTTCTAAAATTATCTCAAAAATTAACTAGGTGATTAATGTAAATTAAACTACTCTTTCACTTGTTAGTGAAAACATCATCTTCTTTTGTTTGGAGTTGAAATACATAAATCAATATGGAAGGAAACCCATACATTGACTACTATTGATACTTCAAACGTTTACATGTAATCCTTCTTTTAAGGGTACATGTACAGAAGTCAGAATATAAAGCAACAAGAGTATTCAAATTAGTTTTGGCACAAGTGAAATGAAAGCAAAAGATGTACGTACTATACTTTTCGAGAAAATATTGTTAATTTTGTCATATACTTCAATGGGATTTATTATTATATGGATCGTGTTTAGTTTGACTAATAAAAGTAAACTCTACACCATTTTGTCAATCACTTGAAAGTGTTAGTTTCAGTAGAGAAGAATCAGTAATGGAGAATCTCAGAGAAAATTGTGTAAAACTGTATTGAACTCATAGAGTCATTCATCAATTTACAAGTGTGTATCTACTCTATATATAGCACATTATATTCAGCTAACTAGACTAGTTATGCTAACTCAACTATGATTAATAATAACTAACTTGTAACAACTTTCCTAACAGCTTTATAACTAACTATTCTATCAGTGTACTGTGGTTGCTACTGCCTTAGCTCCTTTACTGCATAACACCCCTCCTCAAGCTGGTGGCTGAAATAGATCTCTTACTCCCAGCTTGGACATTAAGTATAGATGTGAAGCTTTCCACAATCCTTTTGTAAGCAGATCTGCCAGTTGGTCTTTTGTTGAAACATGATGAGTCTTAATCATTTTTTGTAGTAGTTTTTCTCTGACAAAATGACAATCAATGTCAAAGTGTTTGGTTCGTTCATGAAATATAGGATTGGATGCAATCTGAATTGCAGCCTTACTGTCACAATGTAGATCCACTGGTTGCTTGAAACCAATAAGCCAAGTGATCTTTGTTACAGCTGACGCCATGCTTCTGAATTTAGCTTCAGGAGAGCTTCTGGCAACTGTCTCTTGTTTTTTTTTTATTTCCAGGAAATGAGTGCATCTCCAAACTTCACAAGATAGCCTGTTACTGGCCTCCTTGTTTGTAAACAGGTGGCCCAGTCAGAGTCACAATAAGTAGTAAGCAATTCTGAACTTTGTGCAGGCATGAACAGACCTAAACCAGGAGATGCCTTAATGTACTTAACCACTCTAAGTGTTGCTTCCATGTGAGACTCATTTGGGGCAGGCATGAATTGACTTAGAACCTGAACTGCAAAAGAGATGTCTACCCTGGTCATGGTCAGTTACAACAACCCCCTACTAGCCTTTGATACCTTCCAATGTTCTCCAAGGGTTTATCTGTAATAACAGCCTCTGAACCTTGTGTATGTGTGTCATATTCAATAGATGTTAATCTTACATTAGGATCTAGTGGTGTATATACTGGCTTTGCACCACTTAATCCCATTTCAAAAATGAGTTCCAGTGCATATTTGAGTTGATTCATTACATACCCCTCCTTAGACCTGGCAAACTCAATGCCAAGGAAAAACTTCAACTCACCCAAGTCTTTTATCTTAAACTTAAGTTTCAGATCATTTCTGGTCTTGTCAATCAGAGTAGTACAACTCCCAGTTACAAGTAGATCATCTACATATACAAGGACTATCACCAGTTCTGCACCAACATTCTTAGTGAACAAGGAGTAGTCATAGTGACTTTGAATGAACCCCATCTAAACCAGTGCTTCAGTCAACTTCAAGTTCCATTGTCTAGGTGCCTGTTTGAGTCCATAAAGGGACTTGTGTAATTTGCAGACAATGTTAGATCTCTCCTGTCTGCAAAAACCAAGAGGTACAACCATATAAACATCTTCAAGAAGATCTCCCTGCAAGAAGGTATTGTGCACATCCATCTGAAAAACAAGCCAATGTTTGGCATCAGCAACAGCCAGAACTGACCTGATAGTAACCATCTTAGCCACAGGAGAGAAAGTTTCAGTGTAGTCCAGACCATCCTTTTGATTGAAACCCTTGGCAACCAATCTGACTTTGTACCTCTCAATAGCTCCTGATGCTAAATACTTAACCTTAAACACCCATTTACAGCCAATAGGTTGTTTACCAGGTGGGAGCTCAGTAAGACTCCAAGTGTAATTTTCTTCCAAAGCAGTAATTTCTGTTTGCATAGCCTCAACCCACTGTGGTTGTGAAGAAGCCTCAAGAAAAGTACTAGGCTCAGTAATAGCAGCATGAGATGGTAAAGCAGCATCATAGGAAGCAATGAGATTAGCATAAGAGACATAATTGGAGAGTGGATACAGGCAGCTGGAAGCAGGCTTAGAAGTGTGGAAATCATGAAGCCAAATAGGAGGTCTGATGGTCCTAGTAGATCTTCTCAAAGAGCTACTGGTACTGACAATAGCAGGAACAACACCTGATGAATTAGGAGGCTCAGCCAAGACTTCCTCAACTACAGGAGAAACAACCTGAGCAGGCTGAGCATCAACTGAAAGACCCTCAACTGAATCAGTATCAGCAAGGGTGATAACACCACCTGTCTCAGCATGGAGCAAACCTATAGGCTCATTCAGAAATTGTAGTACAGGGAATAAAGAGGAACTCATGTGTTTGAAGGGAAAAACCTCTTCCTTAAACACAGCATCCCTGCTAACAAAGAAATTCTTACTAGACAAGGCATACAACTTGTACCCTTTCTGGAGAGTGGAGTAACCAAGTAGCACTGCAGGAAGTGCTCTGGAGGCAAACTTGTCAACCCATCTCACCTCAGTGGTAAACACAAGACAACCAAACACTCGTAAATGATCCAAAACAGGGGGAACTTGATACAACAAGTCATGAGGAGTCTTGCCCTGAAGGACAGAAGAGGGAAGTCGGTTGATCAGGTAGACATTAGTAGTGACACATTCACCCCAAAATCTAAGAGGTAGACATGCCTGAAATCTAAGTGACCTAGCCATATCTAGGATGTGTCTATGTTTTCGTTCAACAACCCCATTCTGCTGAGGGGTATAAGTACAAAAACTTTGATGAAGAATAACAAATGTGTTAAGTAAGGAGGTAACTTGGGAGTTGAAAAACTCACAACCATTGTCAGTTCTGAGTATTTTAAGAGTAGTGGAGAAGATATTCTTAACCATGGCAAATAAGTTAGTTAAAGTTACTATAACCTCAGCCTTAGAGTTAAGCAAGATTAACCAAGTGTATCGTGAAAAGTCATCAACCAAAGTAAGAAAGTATTTCTTATTATCATGAGTAGGAACTCTATAAGGACCCCATACATCAGCATGTAGAATGTCAAAGCAAGCAGTAGTAGTAGAATTACTCAAAGGAAATGCCAGTCGAGACTGTTTAGCCAAAAGACATACAGTACAAATAGGAGTAGAACTAGAGGAGATAGACTTGAAACAATTAAGTTTTCTAATAGTAGATACAAGAACATGACCTAAGCTTTTATGCCAAAGAGACGTATATACATTACAAGACTGAGTAGAGGCAGTGTGGGCCACAACTTGAGTAGACTGCAAGGGCACTTCAAGGGATTTATTCAACAAGCAATCAATATTCACAACATACAGATCATTCTCCAGTCTGCCAGTCCCCCTCACAGTCCCACTTGAGAGGTCCTGAAAGACACAATAGTTAGGATAGAAGATGACACAACAATTGTACTCCTTAGTCAATTTTGAAACTGACAGCAAATTATGTTGAAAAGCAGGAATATGCAGGACATTAGAAAATTTTGTTCCTCCAAAGACCTTAGAGGAACCAATATGAGTTACTTGAGCAAGTGCACCATTGGTCAAATGAACCTTATTACATGAGGCATTAGTTAATGAAGAGTGTTGATTCATCATAATCATGTTATGAACCATATGTTGAGAAGCTCCAGAGTCAATAATCCATGTATTAGCCTCAGTTAGCCTCAGTAATGGTAGAGGAATAATGTTTCATACCTGATGCAAGCATGTTATCACAATTGGCCTTTGCCTTTGTCTTCTCATTCTCTTGATCCAACATGTTTAGGAGATGCTGGTACTGTTGTGGAGAGAAATGAGGATGTTGCTAAACCTGTGAAGCATAATGATTAGACATGAAAGCATGATAATGAGCATTAGATGAGGAACCATCACCATGTGGCTTGAAATGAGTGCTTCTATGTGACTGTTGCTAGATCCTTCAGCAGACTGAACTGAGTACTGCATAAGTTGATTATTACCAGTAGCAGCTCTTGCAAGATTAGCTTCAGGAATTAGTCCAGTGGTTGTTCTTATCTTACCCTTCCAATTAGCAGGGTAGCCATGAAGTTTGTAACAAGTAGATCTCACATGACCTTTCCAGTTGCAGTAGTCACAAAAGAGTTCCCCCCGTGTGGCGACATGCAGATCATTCTCCAGTCTGCCAGTCCCCCTCACAGTCCCACTTGAGAGGTCCTGAAAGACACAATAGTTAGGATAGAAGATGACACAACAATTGTACTCCTTAGTCAATTTTGAAACTGACAGCAAATTATGTTGAAAAGCAGGAATATGCAGGACATTAGAAAATTTTGTTCCTCCAAAGACCTTAGAGGAACCAATATGAGTTACTTGAGCAAGTGCACCATTGGTCAAATGAACCTTATTACATGAGGCATTAGTTAATGAAGAGTGTTGATTCATCATAATCATGTTATGAACCATATGTTGAGAAGCTCCAGAGTCAATAATCCATGTATTAGCCTCAGTTAGCCTCAGTAATGGTAGAGGAATAATGTTTCATACCTGATGCAAGCATGTTATCACAATTGGCCTTTGCCTTTGTCTTCTCATTCTCTTGATCCAACATGTTTAGGAGATGCTGGTACTGTTGTGGAGAGAAATGAGGATGTTGCTAAACCTGTGAAGCATAATGATTAGACATGAAAGCATGATAATGAGCATTAGATGAGGAACCATCACCATGTGGCTTGAAATGAGTGCTTCTATGTGACTGTTGCTAGATCCTTCAGCAGACTGAACTGAGTACTGCATAAGTTGATTATTACCAGTAGCAGCTCTTGCAAGATTAGCTTCAGGAATTAGTCCAGTGGTTGTTCTTATCTTACCCTTCCAATTAGCAGGGTAGCCATGAAGTTTGTAACAAGTAGATCTCACATGACCTTTCCAGTTGCAGTAGTCACAAAAGAGTTCCCCCCGTGTGGCGACATGTCGGTGATTCCGTTCGGCCGAGCCAGCTATCGAAAGTCTTGCAAGCAACCTACACTAAGCTAAGCGAGCTAGAAGCTAAAGTGAATCTTTTTTGGCATCTTTTTCTTTGCTCATTTCCTGCACCAAGCCAAGTTAGCTCATCATAGGGCTTTTTATTTTTAAGAAAGAAGACTCAGGCACACTTCCCTATACTTCTCCTAAGTGACATCAAAATACTCTTTCAGCCGATTGTTTGTGTGGGACTTCTGAGAAGATCTACAACCAGTTCCTGAAGGAGGATTAGATCCAGAATTGGAATTGAAACTTGATCTAGACATAGAACTTTTGTTGTTACTGAAGAATGTCATGGCCTCATTCACCAAACTGGAATTATCACTACCTACTGCATTAGATTTTCCAAGGATCCTCTGACTCTCCTCAGCCAAAACAAGAGAGTAAGCCTTGTTAACCCCTGGGGAAGGATCCAACATCATGATCTGACTTCTACACTGATTGTAAGACTTATTTAGCCCTAAGAGAAATTGCATCAGTCATTGATATTCAAAATGTACTACATATGTCTTAGAAACATCCAGGACAAGGCATAAGGGAATCAAACTCCATCCATAACTCCTTAAGTCTAGAGAAATAACTAGAAACAAATAGCAGTCCTTGACTGAGTGTAGCAATCTCTTTGTGCAGATATAATATCCTAGATCCATCTACCTTATCAAACCTCTCCTTCAAATCAGTCCATACTTGTTGAGCACTGCTAGCATAGACTATGCCACTTAGTAATTCCCTACTAACGGAGATCATAATCCATGATTGAACAATAACATTACATTTTCCCCACAAGTCATGCATAAAAGTAGTGAATTTATCCTTAGAACATTGACCAGTAATGAATCCTAACTTTCCTTTACCTAGAAGACCAATTTTCATAGATCTGCTCCATAGAGAGTAGTTTTTAGATCCTGTGAGTTGAATTGAAACTAAAGAGCTACCTGACGTGTCGCAGGCTTGCAGATGAAGAGGATGATGAGCATCTACGACTGAGTGACCTCCACCAATCCCTGAGGAAGCACCTGCACTTGAACTGATGGCAACTTCCACCATTGTAGAGATTTGAATGAACTATAGTCTTTGTTGTTTCTAGGACAATGCAACTACTCTTCTTCGAGCCTTATGCTACACTGAAAACAGAGAGATCCTTAGAGCTTCACCTTAAGCTCTGATACCATGTTAGTTTCAGTAGAGAAGAATCAGTAATAAAGAATCTCATAGAAAACTGTGTAAAACTGTATTGCACTCATAGAGTCATTCGTCAATTTACAAGTGTGTATGTACTCTATATTTAACACATTATATTCAACTAACTAGACCAGTTATGTTAACTCAACTATGATTAATAATAACTAACTTGTAACAACTTTCCTCACAGATTTATAACTAACTATTCTATCAGTGTACTGTGGTTGCTACTACCTTAGCTCCTTTACTGCATAACAAAAAGTAATATATATGATCAAGTTTTAAGGATTATAATTTGTAAACAATATAGATCAAACTCGACTTTAATTTTGAAAAACATTCATATCATACAATTTTATACTTACTAAAAAGTTAGATAATTTAATTTTACACAATAAATATTCCACAAATGTAAGAATCATGATTCCTTACAAGTTACATGTTATAATAAATTTGTAATAGTGTGACAAGTTATTATTGTCACTATATACTATTTATTTATTTTTAAAAAAAAAGAGAAACTACTAGAAAACATATGTTTCTACAGCTAATTAGGATTTGATATTTAATGGTTTACCAAACAAATTAAAGAAAGTCATAAAAAAAAGAACAAATCAAATCAGAGCTTTTATTTTTAGACACTTGTCACTTGCTCTTGCATCATCTACCAAGCGGCAATTCTTCCCATCATTGCTTAAAAATAATTGTTATAACATGATGTGCCACGCCGGGGTTGATTTACGATATATGATGATTTTTTTTAAAAAATCAACAAATATATAGGAAATATAATTTGAGAATTCAGTGAGTTGTTAATTTAGTGGCATGATATGAGTTTTTTTTATACTTTGGTACTCTCTTAATCATATATGTAAATCTTTATTCAGTCTCTTTTTATTTTTTAATTTAAGATGGATAAAAAATCATCAATTTTAAATTTGCATCTGATTACTATTAGCTTTGATCTATTACATGGACCATTGATACCGTTAGGGGTGTACATAGGTCGGTTTGGTTTGGTTTTTCATTAAAAAAAATCTAAACCAATTATGTCCGGTTTTATTAAAATCTAAAAACCAAATCAAACCACGCAAAGTTGGTTTTTTTGGTTTTGATTTTAGTCGGTTCTTTTGTTTTTTTTTTTCCAGATTTTTATAACTATATGGTGTTTGAAAAAGAGATCAAATATATTTTCACTTACTTGTGTGATACTTAAGAAATGTTAAATGAATAATTTTTTTTGTAAAAACTGTAAAAATTCACATGAGTACATTATTTTTTTGAAATATCAACGTTCATTATGTTAAATTAATAAGATTAAAGGATACAGTCAAACTGAATACAAAACGAAATATTTACAAAGTAAATTGTTAACTTCGAATTTGAAAAAACTATAAACAATATAATTGTAACTTCGGATTTAATACAAATAAATATTTACAAGCCCAAATTTGAAATAAAATATATAAACATTGAAAACTATAAACTAACTAAAAATATATTAACAAAGTAGATTATAAATAATATTTTTTATTCTATAAATAAAATAAAATAAAATTTATATATATATTATGTCGGTTTGGTTTGGGTTCGGTTTGACTTTTTTTCTTTTAATACCAAACCAAATCAAGAGTGGTCGGATTTTTTTTTCAACCGTCAAACCAACCAAACCAATCTAAACCACAAATCGGATATTTTTCTCGATTTGATTTGATTCGTCGGTTCAATTTGACTTGTACACCCCTAGAGGCTAGATACAATAATAGTAAGATAAAGTAATTTCCTATTAAATCGCATGATACTGTAAAATTGAACAAATTTTTTTAATTGTAAAACTTAACGTTCTCTATATGTGAACGACGAATGATACATTTTATTTCAATTAATTAATCAACAAGCCTCGCTAGAACTCTATTTATGTATGGCATGGCTTACAGTTTTAATTATTAATTTTTTATTTTTTATTTTAAAAAAACTATTCATTTTGCTTCTACAAGCAAGCCAGTAACTAAAACCCCACTAGTCCACTACCACCTTAGGTTGCAAAATAGACACTAATTTAGATGTGTATTAAGTGATGAGGATAAAATCAAAAATTTATTTGAGAATATTAAAAAAAAAAAATTCTAAAAATGAGGTGCTCGTGTAATTTTTTTGTCCACCGTTAATGGATAGTAGTTAAACTATCTAAAAGCTAATATTTCACCTATATACCAGCACTTTTTTTAGGAAACTGAAAAATTAAGAAAGCCTTTTTTCCCCTCATATATTAAGTCTTCTTTTATTATATATATTGAATATTTTCTAAAGGAGTATTAACAATTATATAAGTCTTAAAATTAATATATTGAATTAATTTGACAAAAATTAAACCGAACAGATCCTATTACTTGAAACTTCATTAAATTCGTCAGGCTTAGATCCCGCCCTGCAAAAAAAATACTGAACAGTCAAATGGAGACAATAACTTCTTTTCAATTTTTGGCTTCGATCTAATAAAGCGGAAAGTTCAAACAAACACCTTTTGCGTCTCCATTTTCCCTTTCTTCTTCGTCTTCTCCAATCTCCTGCAAATTCTCTCTGTATTTTCTGTTCAGCTCTGTAAATGGAGAGGATTGTGGTGAGAAGAGAGAAGCTTCGAGCATGGATATTCCTCTTCCTGTCGGTTGTTTATTCTGGGAGGATGACCTTAGCGGCCAGATCTGAAAAGGAGATTAGGGCAAGGTTTTACGGTAATTTAGTAAATTCGTCCGCTCCCGTAACTAATGATGGCACTATTGCCAAAATGTTCGATCGTGTTCTCGAGAAAGAGTTTTCTGAAAACGATCAGCCTGAAGGTAAGTTTTCTCCATTTTCTCTTTATTTATTTTTTCGGAATTAGTGTTTTTTGTATTCGCTGATTACAATTTAAGTTGATTTATACAAGTTAATGGTGTATTTCCGGTCTTTTAATGAGCTTTTGACAAATTTACTTTTGGTTATTAGAGTTTTCATCTAAATATTTTACTAAAGGTTCCCGATTCGTGGTGGTTATATGATGTATGATGAAATATTATACATCTTTGATGATTGATGATGACATTTATGTCTTATGCTTGATTGATAAACAACCTCTTCAAAACAGTGTAAATAAGGCAAATTAAGTTATGAGCTTTCGTAAATCAATTTTATTTGCTACAAAAAGAAAGAGCGATAAGCTGAATAGAGAAACCAATTGGAATTTTTAATATGCTCCAAGTTCTGGCATTTAACCAATATGGTTACTCAGGAATGTAACAATGCATTCAGTTGTGTGGTTTGCATAATGAAATGTCGGATTTATCATGTGCTTTTCTCACCTGATTAGGTTCTGATGGACGCAGCTTTAACAGTACGGTTGCTGATGAGACGGTAAGCTAAGCTATTCATACTTGTCATCAATTTACTTTTGGATCATGTTAGTTGTTATCTCTGATATTAAGATCAGTAGAAGCTTATTTGCTGAAGCTTAGTTAACACAAAAACTGCTTATTTTAGATGGTGAAGCAATATATATATATATATATATTATTGGATCAGAGTATGCTTATGCTTAGCTGACTTTGTCTAATTGTTTGTGTCAAGGTTGAAGACATACATATCCATTCCAACTTCAACGTCTCCTATGTTTTAAGTTTAGCTCCTAATCAGAGTGCCAAATGGCCTAACATTTTGACTTGCGTTTGTCAGAGTCTGACACTTTTACAATTTACTTTTGGTTCCAGCTGATAGAAAAATCTTTGCTCTTTTATGAAAAGTTTACCTTTCTTTTCCATTAGGGAGTCCTGGAGACGGTAGCCAAAATTACCCATGAGAAGATCAAGAAGAATGAGACACAACAGACAAAGTAAATAAGAAGCTGTAACTAAACAGAGAACATGCCTCTCCTGGCTTTGTGTGAACTTTGCTGAAGTTATTCATTTATTTTGCCTTTTACAGTGATACTAGATCATTCAAATTACAAGACGTTTTCTCCCTTGAAAATGAAGGTTCTGATGATGTTACTACATTGATTGACAAAAAGGTAAAAAATGTATGCTTGAATTGTTATAAAAAAACATTGGTCAATATCTCTAACGTGTGCCTAACTAGCTCTTTGTATACTGTTTTTCTTGATGACAGGATAATGTGTTTGTCATGTCAAATAAGAAATCAAAATATCCGGTGCTTCAAGTTGATGTGAGGTCAATGTTAATCCTTTTTTATCCTGGCAATTCCACTGAATAAACATAGATATTTAGGGATTTTCATCTTTCATGTAGTTTCCACAGCTAGTGACATGTAGTTTGTGCTACAATGTGTGTCTGCAGACTTATCTCAGACTTGGTGGTGGTTATAGTCTCTGCTGCCATTGGTGGAATCATCTTTTCTTGTTTAGGACAACCGGTATGTACTTTTAGAAGCTTGTGAAATTTTACTTCGATGATTATCATCTTCTGAGCTTATAAATCTAAATTTCAAGTAAACCCAAGTACTGAATGTGTTTTAATCATGATTTCTTGAGGTAGGTTATTGTCGGTTATCTTCTTGCTGGCTCATTAATTGGACCAGGGGGTTTGAAATTCATCAGTGAAATGGTACAGGTATGTAATCCTACAAGACAACACATTGCTTATAAGGAAAAATCATGTCTGCCTGTTTGTTGTTGAAATATCCATAGATTAAGCGACAAAGTAATCTATCCATATGATAACGTTAGCGGAAAAAGCATAGAGTACATGAGTGTCAAACCGGAAAACAATCTTGAGTTTTGTTTCATTCAGTTTCTTTATTTCATGAAGAGAGGTGCTAACGTTTTGTCTGTGCTTTTGGTATGTGATGCTTACTGATTTGCGGGCGTATATTATTTCATTGCTATGTTCTTTTCGTTTTTGAATAACTTGACTTTCATTAACAGTAATCTGTGAAATTACTATCATATTCTTGGCTGAAACTCATTTAGTTATGATGTAAGTGTGTTTCTTGAGTTGAACTCTTTCAGTGTCGATTGTATTACAGGTTGAGACCGTTGCTCAGTTTGGAGTTGTCTTCCTTCTATTTGCTTTAGGTCTGGAGTTTTCCTTGACAAAGGTGCTTTATCATTCTTTGTGGGGCTTTTTCCATACAACTGTTAGAACTAATTCTTGAAAAAGTATCTCGGTATTTCAGTATGTATCTTTCCTTACTTGGGTCAGCCTCCTAACATATTATCATGCAGCTAAAAGTTGTTGGTCCTGTTGCTGTTCTTGGAGGGTTGCTTCAAATTGTTATCCTTATGTTTCTGTGTGGCACAACTGCAATGGTATGGCTGTGGAATTGAATTTCGCTTCTCCAATAACTGTTGCTTAGTTATGCATTCTGTAATGTGCTGCAGTTATGTGGTGCAAACTTGTCAGAGGGAGTGTTTGTTGGTTGCTTCCTATCAATGTCATCAACGGCAGTGGTATATTATAAAACCATGATTCTTGTCAGTTTTTCCTTGTCTTTAATATAAAGTAAGTCTCACTAGTGATGACTTTGACCATCTTAAATAAACAGGTGGTGAAATTTCTGGTTGAGAAAAACAGCAACAATGCTCTTCATGGTCAAGTGACAATCGGAACATTGATTTTTCAGGTAAAACCTGTGTCCCTATTACCAAATTTTTAATGGTCATGTCCTTTGTTCATATACATATTACTAGAAGGTTGGTCCTTTTCTTTTTCATTTATCCCCAGGACTGCGCTGTTGGCTTATTATTCGCTTTGCTTCCTGTTCTTGGAGGTAACAGTGGGCTTTTGCATGGAATTATCTCTATGGGAAAAGTGTAAGCTTATGGGCGTGCCACTTTCTATGTTGTTGTTTTTGTTTTACTTGGCAGCAATTCGAGGCTTAGATCAAGACTAAAAATTCTGTTTGCTCTGTCTAGGCTGCTGATCCTATCCATGTACCTCAGTGTTGCATCAATTTTAACTTGGTCATTTGTTCCACGTTTTCTGAAGTTAATGATTCGGTTATCTTCTCAAGTGAGTACTTCTCATGATCATATTTTCTTATTTATTCTTTTCTCCACATGGAATTATCTAGAGGTGTCAAATTTGACCCATTAACATGAAACCTGTCCAAACTTTAGCGGGTTGGGCCAGTGATATTTTCATGTCCGGTCAAGTTGGGTTGTAGCACAGGCTGGCCCATAGCTTAGACAGGTCATTTACGGGTCAGTTTCTTAACCCGTGATAGTAGCTATATGTGCATGTGCCATCCGTGTACCTCTCACACCTGCACACAACGCACACCAATTAATTGATCCTTTTCTGTAAACCTTTTTTTTAATGTTGTCTGACTTTTGTGTTTTTGGTGTTTGAATAAAGAATGGAAAAAATGCAAACTTTTGATTGTAAGAGGTTTTCTTAAAAGTTGGATTAATATTTTTTATGTTTGAATAATTAAGTGGAGAAGCTGCAAAATCTTTACTACAAGAGGTTTTCTTCCAAGCCAGGTGTTCTCAGAAACGAGATTTAGTCGGCATTTGTCCATAATTGTGAAATTTGGAAAAAAGTAGTATTTGAAAAAAAAGCTGAAAATTGGAGTTGTGTTCTGACATGAATACAAATTGAATTTGTTTTTGAATTTTTGTGAGTGATAAGTGAGGTTAAAAAAATAATTTGAAGTATGAAAGCTACAATACTCAAGATGGAAAGATATCACTTCGTGTCTTAAGTACAAATCTGTATTAGTTGCAGTTACTGCAGAATGGTAGACTTATAGTCAAGCAAATAGGCCAAATTTTTGGGACTAACCAAAATGGTTGCCGGTCAAGTTTTTATTTTTGGTGATAAAGGGAGTAGTCGTACTCGTACATGTAAGGTAACTTATCAGGCCTTCTGAAGACAAAAGTAATAGTGTAATACAAGGTTGTAAGTAAAATTTCTGTTACTTATAATGTTTGAAGAATCATCAGCCAATGATCAAGTACAGAAGGCCAAATTTATCTTGCATCAGGGCTGCTGATCTAAGCAGTTCATATTATTCTTAAGCCGCTCCTTTAAATGACAGCCCTTTGGTTGTATTTTCTTCAATAAATGTCAGACTCAGAGTGTACCACAACTGTACTGATCTTGAATTACCAACTGATGTCAGAATCCACCTAATTTAACTGAATAATGGAATGGTGATTCGTCCAATCTAAGACAATGAAGAAAGTTAGCTCTTGTCAGCATGGCATTAAACCTGAATCACCATTCCCTTGGAATCAACCTGACAATCGTTGAATTGAATAAAATATTGATTTACCAGACTGCACTACAACCACTTTGATCTTGATTTACCAACTGATGTCAGAATCCACCTAATTTAACTGAATAATGGAATGGTAATTTGTCCAATCTAAGAATGAAAAATGAGCTTTTGGCAGAATGGCATTAAACCTAAATCATGATTCAGTTAGAATCAACCATTCCGATTTTCGGAATTGAATGAAATGTTGGAGTCACGATTCTTTTCGTAGGTCATTCTGCAGTATCATACCAGTCATAATTGTTCGAATCTCCATCTTTTTTGTCAGTTGATCCCAGCATATGGTGCTGACAATAAACAATTTATATCAGCTCTGCTGCATGTATTTGTACATTTCCGAGCTTCATGCTTTATGCAGTTTTTCCTTTTCAAGCTGTTTACTTTCTTAATTCCTTGTCATTTTCAGACCAATGAATTATATCAGCTTGCGGTGGTGGCATTCTGCTTATTATCTGCTTGGGTTAGTTTGAACACTGTTCTAATTTTTCCTTACTAGAAATGGGATGGCTATTCTTCAGTTGCAAATTGCAGGATATATATATTTTACTGAAACATTCTTGTAAAAGCTCTCTGAAGTAGTGACTACATAGCAAGCAGTGCCAGAGAATACTGAGGATGTTTCATTTGATTCTTCAGTGCAGTGATAAGCTGGGCCTTAGTCTTGAGCTGGGTTCATTTGTAGCCGGAGTTATGATATCCACAACTGACTTTGCAAAACATACCTTGGACCAGGTATTGATATATGATAGGATGTTTCTTCTCTCATGCTTTTATTATTAAACATAAATTGGAATGTTGACCATGAACAAATCTTTAAGGCATCCTTACTTCAAAGTTCATTTTTCTATTTCAACTCAACAATCTTATTTATGTTAATATTTCTATGAGTGTTCTCATTATCTTTGAATGTTCCTGGCTTCTTACAACATCTTTGTACACAATGATATCTTATCTGTGTCAGTTTCTTCTATTTATATTTTTTCTACTGATTTTGGAACATTTCTAAGCTCTGAAGCATATATTTCCATTTCTCTTTAATTGTTCTGTCCTTCTTCCATCTTATTTTTCCGTTAATGTCTTGGGCAGGTAAAGCCCTCAGTATCTGCTTAGAAAATTTACTATTCATCAGTAGCTGTATTTATTTTCATTATCGGATATATGGAAAAATCAAATATCAGAAATAGCATTCTAATTACCATGCTTGCTGTACAACAATGGCAGATTGTAATGTATTACTTGGAAACATCAGACTACTTCGATTTTCCCTAATATGCTTTGCGATTGTTAAGTGTATTAATATTACTTGTAGGTGGAACCAATCCGTAATCTCTTTGCAGCTCTCTTTCTCGCTAGTATTGGAATGCTGATACATGTACAGTTCCTTTGGACACATGTGGATATCTTGCTTGCCTCCGTTATCCTGGTTATAGTTTTTAAGACTACTGTAGCCACTGTGATTACAAAGGTTTTTGGATATAACATTAGGACGTCACTTATTGTAAGTCACCCATCTAAACACTTGATAGACAAAATATATTGCCTTGATTTTTTATGAGTTTGAGTGACTTTACAGGTTGGACTTTTGCTTGCACAAATTGGGGAATTCGCATTTGTGCTCTTGAGTCGTGCCTCGAACCTGCATATTGTTCAGGTGATCTCATCCTACCTATCTTTTTTCACCTGTTATGTTTCTTATCGTTTTGAACCCTTCCCCTTCATAATACCTTTTAGGAGGCAAAAAAAAAAATTACGTTCAAAATGTGACCGTGCGACACTGATCTCCTGATGTTCTTCCTCTTAATGTCTTAAGTTCATGAAATAATGGAATTGCACTTACTTTTGTGGAGAGATTGTGAGTGCCACTATTTCTGTTGTTTCAAAGTAGATAGCATGACACAATTTGAATTTCTATATTGTTTTAAGGTTAAAACTTACCAAGTGGTTCTCTAATTTCATTTCAATCACAACTATACATGATACCGTGTTTTACATGTATGTATAATGCAATTAAATTCGCCCTAGTTGAATTTATGGTTTTTAATATTTCAGTCGTGTTTTGGAACAATAGATATACAGTTCAGTTTCTTGCTCACCCTGTTATTTTAAACAACAGGGGCACTTATACATTGTTTTCCTTAGCAAAATTTTCCTGGCTGCCTAGATGTTATTAGTGTCTCTGTGTCACGTAATGGCACCATAAACACTTTTTCCGTTAAAGATTAGCTTTTAAGAAAATTTAGAAGAACTCCTACTTATTAAACAAAAAAGAAAGAAGAGTCCCCTAAAGGAACTCTGCCTGTTTTGTAAAAACACTATGTGAAATATATTCCCATATGTCCAAGCTTGGTGAACAAAGCAGAGTTACCCAGTATATGTTATATGGGAAGTAGCATGTACCTCGTGAAATAAGTTGAGGCGCGTGTGAGCTGATTGGGACACCATGTGTTTTTTTCAAAAGAAGATACTGCTTGTTTTGCATTAAGAAACAAGTCTTGAATTATTTTTTATCTGCAGCTCCTTGATTAGGTTTAGCTGATTACTTGTGCTGTATTCTTACTTTCACCAAGTACAATCATTATTATTTTGAGATTGTAACATATTGTGTGTGTGTGTATATACATATATATTATACATCAGCTACACAAAACCTGTGCAGCAACCATAATTACTATGTGCAGTAAAAAAAAAAAACAAGCCACCAAGTACATCATTTGTCCCGCTCAAATGCCACATTATCGCTCTTTTGAATTTTCTGTGACATATACAGGGCAAGATGTACCTTCTTCTTCTCGGAACAACTGCTCTAAGTCTTGTAAGCTTCTAAATCTTCTAATTGCTTGAGGAGATCTACTTTCTATGCTTTATGTTTTTTAGTTGATGTTTAAGAATGAGAATTTTGTGCAGGTCACAACCCCCGTCTTGTTCAAGTTGATACCTGCTATCATGCACCTGGGAGTTCTTATGCACTGGTTTCCTGTGGAAAACGTCGCACCAGATGAGGTAGTGTTTCTTACTGAGATCATGGACTGATTGACACAATTGTAGATGAGATGTTATTTCTTTATCAAGTTCACATGCTAACACCTCAAAGATAGATAAAATGTTACTCTCTACTAACTTTTTTCTTCATTGCTTATGTTATTGTATTGGCATGCCTAGACATTTAAATGAGAATCTTCTGCACACACATTGTTCGTTTCTTCTGGCTGAGGAACAACAATGAGCTAGGGTTTCTCTGCTATAATATATCATTTTCTTCTAATTTTTGTTTGGCTATGATACAAGAAACACAGTAAAGTCGTCAGTTTGATTTTTTGTGTTTGCAGGAGAAAGTTGCAATGATTGTTGATACGCACAACAGAGTATTGTAACATAGGCTGTGTTTTATATCCAGTAGTATCAACACAATGGCTAGATGACAGAGAATTGTAAAATATACCCAGTTTTGGCGGGCAGTAAATTCGATGTGCATTACTCAGCCTGAACTCATCAAGGATGCAGAGGTTAGATAAAAGTTAGATTTAAAAAAATTACGAAAAAGTTAAATTTGTTATGTACATAAATGTTCTGAATATGGATGCTGTATATATTCTCACAGAACTTGTCCTTGACATCACGCTCACAAAAAAAAAAATGTACCTCGACATTTATAGTGAATGCCAACGAATTATCTGCCATCCAAAATTCCTTGCAATCTAACTGTGTACACCGGTCTTGTATTATTATTTTTTCTTAAGAAGATGGATTTTATTTTTCTCCAAATAAGCCAAATCATAAAAAGGAAAAAAGAAAAGATGAAAGCAACGGAATATAAGGACCAAATCTACGGTTGGTAGGGTGTATGTTTTAGGGGTTTTGTCATGATTTTTTAAATTAATATTTGAGCTTCACTTTTATTTTGTTAAAGTACTACCATAATTGCTTTACTTTCTCTAAAAGAAAATATAAATTTGTTCTATATTTGGTTATTCGTTTCTTGGAATAAAAGTTTGGATTTTATAGATTGGAGATTTTTCTTCTCATACTACAACACAATAGCATCCATCATACACTGGTTTAAGAGTCTTGTTTAAGGGGGAGATAATTCTTCTAATAAATATATGTTTTTAAATTTTAGTTTTTAATATGTAGATCTCGAGTAATATTTGATCCAATGATTGAATGAGTTTGAATAAAAGTTCTAATCAATTTGGAATCATTTGATGATAATGAAGATTTTTGTTCGGATACTACAAGAAAAGTTTCAGTCATATTTCAACATTTATGTGGCTTCATCTTCTTCTTTTTGTATAAAAAAAAAAGATAGTTTTTTAAATTCATTATATTTTTAACTTTAATTTCAACCCTAGAAAGCAATGGTGTTGAAGATTATGTAAACAACGAAGATTATCAAACATGTGAAGAGTCAATTAAATTTTGTCAAGAGCCAAAAAAGGAGGATTGTTAAGGTTTTACTCGAATTTTCTTATCATAATTGAGTTTTATTTTTCTCACGAAGGAAGGTCAAAGTATTACCATAATTGTTTAAATTTTTCTTACAAGGAAATATAAATCTTTTTCATGTTTTGGAAGAACAAGTTTGGACCTTTATAAAATGAACACGATTCTTCTCATACTACAACACAATAACATCTACCATGTAATCGTTTAAGAGTTTTATTTAGGGATAAATTATTCAAGACTCTTAAAATGACTACATGATGGCTGCTATTGTGTTGTGTAGTATGAGAAGAATGATTTTCAATTTATAGGGTTTCAAACATTTCGTCAAAGAAAGGAACAACCAAACATCTTTTTCTTTTAGAAAAAGTAAAGCAATTATGTTAATAGTTTGATTTTCATTTGAGAGAAAAATAAAACTCTAATATAAAAAGGAAATCAAGGCAAATCCTCTAACAACTCTCCCCTTTAGACTTGAAATTTCGTTCTTCATATAATCTTCATTGTTGTTGTTTGCTATGGTTGAAAAAAAAATTAAAATATTATGGATTAAAAATAATTTAGAAAGTACCTTTTTTAAAAAAAATAAAAAATGCAAATGAAATGTTGTAATATGATTGACAAATTCTTAGGCTCCCATTTCTCTTTAAATTAAAAAATATTAGCAAGCCTAATCGCCAGAATCAAGCTCTTAATTCACAGGTATGATTATATAATTATTATTTTTCCTTTTGCAGTATCTCAGTTCATTACATTATCATTTTCTACTTTTGCTTCAATTTCTTCTTGGGCTGTCGTGTTGTTGGCTTGATTTAAATTTTAACCTTTGCTTGTGTTGCTCAGTCATTAGTGTTATGTATGGTTATGTTTAGCTTCTCGAGAGTTAATTTATTATTTTTTGAATTAAAATTAGATTTAATTTAACGTTTAAATTTAAACTAAACGAAAAATATTATAAGTTACATTTTTTCTCATATCAATATTCAATATGATATACTAATACATTTTAAAAATATTGATCAAAGTTCAACCGTAAAACGAAATTTTAACTGGTAATTTGGGACTGAGTATAACACTCGTTCAGATAGTCACAATCTGCCTGCAATTAACATTAATTGTAAGTTTCAATTTTCTTGCTAATGTAATTGTCAAATTTTGGTTTTAATTAAATTAAAGTTTCATAGTTTGTTTATGAAAATGTTAGAAGATAGCCACTTTATCACTGTTTACTATGCATTTAAAATTTAGCCACTGCTACATGTTTATTCTATTGCCAAATAAGTACTATTATAACATCATATGATTACTTGCTATGTATTTAAAATTTAGCCACTGCCACATGTTTCTTCTATTGCCAAATAGGTACTATTATGACATCATGATTATTTGCTATGCATTTAAAATTTAGCCACTACTACATGTTTCTTCTATTGCCAAATAGGTACTATTATAAAATCGTGTTTGCTATGCATTTAAATCTAGCCACTACTACAAGTTTCTTCTATTGCCAAATAAGTACTTTTATAATATCAATGCCTAATAAAGCAAGGTTCACTTTTCTCTTACCTCTGAATTATTGAATTTGTATCTCCTAATAAATTTATGTTATGTCACGTACTATACTGAATTCAGATAAATTCAATAATAGAATGTTATATCCACCCTGTTTATAATTCATAAGTTATGAAAGACTACCGATTCATTTAATCAAGTACAAAATATAAGGACCATCCTGGAAATGGTTAAATTCACAATACCATTAAAGGCTTTGTTTAGACGTACTTATAGTTTTTGGTTAATTTTTGTATAAAAATAAGTATTTACAAATATTTTATTATTTTATTCAAATAATATAAAAATACTTTTAAAATATTTAAAATAAGTCAATCTAAGTATGCTTTGAAGAATAAGAGGCCGTTTAGAATAGCTTTAAAAATTAGCTTTTAAATTAAAAAAATAAAAAATCAAATTTAAATGATTAAGTCAAAAAAATAAAAAGGCAAAAAGACTTTTAAATTTTGCCGTCTTAAACTAAAGATATAAAGAATATACTGAAATATCATTTAATTTAATGATCTTTAATATATCATATGTAAAATTAAAATTAAAAAATTATCGTAAAAATAACTAAATAAATAGTAATATACTCCCTCTGTTTCAAAAAGAATGGTCTAGTTTCTTATTTAGTCTGTTTAAAAAAAGAATAACTCATTTCTTTTTTTGGCAACACTTTAACTTTAACTTTCCACGTGACATGTTTAAGGTCACAAGATCAAATGATATTTTGATACATTTGACATAACTTTAATTTAGAACCACAAGATTAAAAAGTCTTATTTCTTTACTTAAATTCTGCTCCAAGTCAAATTAGGTCACTCATTTTAAAACAAAGGAAGTATTTGTTTTTAACCAAATAATATATATTTTTTAAAAATAATATAAAGAAATTAAAGCACATGTAATATCATATACTATTGTTGTTTTAAGCATAACTATAACCAAACATAGAATCATGACTTTATAGATGTGCAATTGAAGTGTTGTGCTAAACTCAAAGGAGAGGATCCATTGAGAAGTGATATGCACTTTTGGTCAGACTGGATTTTGTCAGCTTTGTTTAGCTATTATTAGATCCTACACTCTATTTTATCAAAAAGTGAACATTACATAGCCTCACAAGTCCTATGATGGGTACTATTCAATTTTATTAAATTCCTTCATTTTTTTTATTTTTGGTCAAATGATCTGAAAGACGTTTGTATTTGATTTTGTTTATCATTTGGAACACGTGAATTTAAGAGTTCAGTTGATAAAATTGTTAGTATAGAGATCCAATTAACAAACGAAGTCAAGTCAATTTTGAATATTCAGGTTACAATTTAAAATATTAAGCCAACGTTTGGTCATATGATTAATCAAATATTTTTTAAAAGTTATTTTTAAATGAAGTTTCTATAAATATGATTAGGGATGGGTAAAAAAAAAAAAATTACAAAAGTAGGTCATAATAGAATATGGTAGCTTACAAGTGTGTTTAATGGTGTATATTATATGGCATATTTTTTTGTAGCGATCGAATAAAAATAATATAGATTTCACACAAATTTATAATTTGAGATTAAATCTTCAAATTAAATATATTTTATTAAATAGAGTAACAATTCAATATTCATCACCGTTTGATTAGAATCAACCTAAACAAACTCATGACATTATGTATACTATTCAACATTGTCAACTATTAAACAATTTCTTAGAAATACAAAATTGCCCATCAAAAATGTTATAAAATTGCCTACTCTTCGTAATTTTAACTTCAAATTTTATTCTTAATTTATTGGCCAGCAAATATCTATAATATTTATTATCAATCATAGATTTATTTATTTTTAAAAACTCCATATAATCGATTAAGACTACTATAAGATATAATAATATGAGATAAAATACATGATTATTTTATTCTGCATTTAGTTGACAGTATTAGGTAATCATTAGATTATTTATCCAATCATATTTTATATCTTAATAATGAGATAAATTATTTCATATACATAGTGAAATAAATTATACTTAAAATTAAATAATTTATTCTAAAATAATTAATTTCAAATAACTTATTCTCAACTAAACGAGCCCTAAATGCTTTGTTGCTGAGCCTTAAAACTTTAGGTCCCGGCCTACAATTAGGTCCCCTTCCTTGTTGACTTCTTAAGGCTACTACCCTTATGTTGTAGGCATGTTGGTTCTTTTTTCTTCTTTAATTTTAACAGCTTACAAAAAAGTTACAGTAAAGCTTGCAGAGAAATAGCTATAGTATTTATTTTTTCAATGAAATAAATCACTAATTACTTTTTGAAATTTATAGAAAATTAATGCATAAATATCTTGCCCTCTTTTTAGCAATCTTTATTTTTAGCTTTTCACCTAATATATTTAATTTTACTAAATTAAATTATATTTAAGTTGTATTTGATATAACTTCAATTTAATATTATAATAATTTTAAAAAAAATTATTACTCTTTCCGTTCATAAAAAATGACCTAATTTGACTTGACAAAAAATTTAAAATATGTCATCATGTCATGTGGAAAATAAAAAGTATTATATTATCTAAAAAAGAAAGAATTTTTTTTTTTTAACAAACCAAAAAGTAAAGCAGATTATTCTATATTAAACGGAGGACGAAATGATTTATGAGTCATATTACTCGTTTGCAATTATATGCCTACATGATTTACA